GAGATCTAGATTCATTCCATATTCCTTCTTCAGAACTGGCATGAACTGAACTGCTAACAGCAGATTACATGATTTATTTTAAACAATAAGATAAACTTTTACTAAAATATCAGTGACGTGCTCAAATTAGTTTAACTATCATCACCTTTGTTGTTTTTTCAAAAATAAATATTTAATTGAGATCGAATTGAAATACGCTTATCGCGATCCAAAACGTTAGTACCTAGAGGAAGAATTATGACTTCAGCGTTGAGCACTACAAAATTCAAGAACATAATCACAGTCCATGGTTGTGAAGCTGCTAAAAAATCAAAAGATACAGCATGATCGAAAAAACGGCATCAGCGATAGCTAGGAAAGAAAGATCGCTGTCACTTTATATGTAAAATTATATGAGGAATGTCATCGATCGTCATTACCAAGCCAACTGGCGCCGTCTTTTTTTTCGATCATATGGTACATATATTAGCAAATCGAAACGAAAATATACAGTTTGTACAATATCCAATAATTAAGCCAGTCGTACAAGAGTTAGGTGTAACAAATTTCATTTGTATGTTGCATCGAGTTGTGCATATTAATTTTACCTAAAGAATAATATAATCAAATAAACTGTTCGCATCAAAGTAAAAGTCAAAGATTGATTGTAGACCCATATAGTAGAGGTCAGGATGGATACAAATCTACGGACCTATCTCCGGTTCTGGTGGTGATGTGGATGTAGATCCGATCAAATACCGACATCTATCCTTTCAAGCGATAGCAAAAATGTTGAGATCTAGATTCATTCCAGATTCCTTCTTCAGAACTGGCATGAACTGAACTGCTAACAGCAGATTACATGATTTATTTTAAACAATAAGATAAACTTTTACTAAAATATCAGTGACGTGCTCAAATTAGTTTAACTATCATCACCTTTGTTGTTTTTTCAAAAATAAATATTTAATTGACATCGAATTGAAATACGCTTATCGCGATCCAAAACGTTAGTACCTAGAGGAAGAATGATGACTTCAGCGTTGAGCACTACCAAATTCAAGAACATAACCACAGTACATGGTTGTGAAGCTGCTAAAAAAGTCAAAAGATACAGCATGATCGAAAAAACGGCGTCAGCGATAGCTACGAAAGAAAGATCGCTGTCATTTTATATGTAAAATTATATGGGGAATGTCATCGATCGTCATTTCCAAGCCAACTGGACGCCGCCTTTTTTTTTCGATCATACGGTACATGTATTAGCAAATCGAAACGAAAATATCAGTACAGTTTGTACAATATCAGCCAGTCGTAATTGAGCCAGTCGTACAAGAGTTAGGTGTAACAAATTTCATTTGTATGTTGCATCGAGTTGTGCATATGAATTTTACCTAAAGAATAATATAATCAAATAAACTGTTCGCATCAAACTAAAAGTCAAAGACTGATTGTAGACCCATATAGTAGAGGTCAGAATGGATACAAATCTACGGACCTATCTCCGGTTCTGGTGGTGATGGGTGTAGATCCGATCAAATACCGACATCTATCCTTTCAAGCGATAGCAAAAATGCTGAGATCTAGATTCATTCCATATTCCTTCTTCAGAACTGAGCATGAACTGAACTGCTGACAGCAGATTACATGCAATTGCGCCGACATAGTATCTAGACCTGAACCCGACATGCTTACAAAGTCATATGGTTTTGCGCTCTATGCCAGTTTCAGGTTAAAATGTTATAGATCCGACAGAACTGCAATCTGAACCTTCATCTAACCTGTCTTCATCAACCAGTCAGGCCACGACAAAAGATGTGAATCTGAAAACACCTGCAACCTGTTCCATCTTCTATATTTCAACTTACTTAATAATGCATATGCATAAGGGAAATTGAAACAACTTTCATTGCACGTCATCAATGACACCATGCGTCGTCTTATGGAGTATGCTGGTGGTCGTATTATGATGTGCAACGAAAATTATTTTAATTTCCCCAATATATCCTAAAGTTCACACATATTTTGTGAAGATAAACATTCTTTAATAGAAAACCTAAAAAAATAAAAAAGAAACAAATGCATTTGAAATAAAAGTTACTCCAGTACTACCCATTCTTCAAAGTTCCCAATTTCAACTAAAACTAAACAGGATGTGTTTTGTTACGAATAAATTAGTACTTTTGGTTGAATTTATGGTATGAAATAAAACACGAAAACTTTTACTACTTATAACTTTATTGAAATATTAAAAAATTAAAACATAATAAAAATAACAAATAAATCACTCTACTAGTGTTGTTAGTTTGTTAAACTAGCGGGTTAGTTTGCAAATTATGTATTCGTTTTAGTTAATGTCAGGACTTTATATTATTGTTTTCATAGTAACCAGTTATTTCAGTTAGTTTGTGTTCAAGATTTTGGCTAATATATGATAACTCAAATAGTTTTACTCATTCAAAATAGCAAGATTGCTCTCCACCCGTCATAGAAACGAAATATTTGAATTCAATCACCAGCATCATCAATCGTCAAAAATAATTCATCATCAGCAAATGGAAACAATATTTCGTTTGATCCGTCGCAAGTTGAGCATTTTCAAAAAAGATGGAGGTAAACTCAAACCCGCTTGATCGTGCCATAATAGGGTTCATCAACTTCTGGCGAGAATGTTGTGATTAATAATATTGGTAAGGATTATGAAGTTGTCTTTAGATGTAAAAAATGGTCAAAACGAAATGGAAATGAAAAATCTTTGTCAAGGTTATTAGATTCTACAGGTTACCTCAGTCGGCAGATTTTAGGCGAGAGGTGCTTGGAGGACGGCGGGTGTGCGTGACGTAGTTCTGAGACCCGCCGTATCTCTTTTTAATACCTTCCATTTCTTTCTTTCTCGTACGGTTTAATGGCAATGGCCGTTGGTTTGGTAGTGGTTTTGTGTCGTTTTTGTATTATTTCTTTATTTTCTAATATTTCTTTAAGTGTTACTGGTTAAGTTAATTGTGGTCTGTGAACTACACATATTTAAGTACTTTGTGGACAATTTATTATTTGCGTAGATCTCAGGAACTGGCAATTAAGTGAGTATAATTACTTATATAAATGTTCAGCCTAGAGAAACGTTTATCGGCATGTTTATACTAATTTTTAATAACTATTTTTTTTGAAAAAAAAAAACAATAAGATTTAATATTTTTAGAATGCTGTGAACTCGGTGTACAGTTACTACTTGTCAAAATAGCCTAGAAAATAGCGATGGGAACTATCGAATGAATTAGACTATCGAATGGTTAATGAATGAATGATTTCAACTATCGAATGGTTTTATTCGAATAAAATCATTCATTCATTTGTATACTAAAGCATATGTGACAACCTCGCCGTGCGACTAAATGGTTATCGTTGAGCCACGACTATCGAATGCTTTTGATAAATGAAATTTAGTATTCGTTTGATTTTTGTATGCGTCGGTGCATTATTAGTTCTTCCAAATTTTTATAACTTCGCCGTATAAATACTGTGCTATTTTTGCGTTTATTAAAATCGTTAAAATACTAAAATAGTAGTTATTTTTTAATTTTATTTATTGACGATTGTGTGCATGTGCAGGTGGTCAAAATTTTTCCGAAAATTTGTGTGGTTTTCCGTAGTCCGATCTTTCAATTATTTAATTTTATATGGTATATGGTCTATTTTTTAATGGGAAATTCTGAGAAGTAGCAATTTTAAGAGAGATGAGATGAACTTATTAATTAATTTCAAAAATACATATTTGTATTTTAGATGTTTTAATAATATGAATTAGTTGAACTTAATAATCATATTTAAGTAATGTGGTTGTATAATCATATTTAAGTAAATGGTTATCGAACTCAAACTATGGGGTGAGAAAATTAAAATGAAAGTTTTACACGTGCCAATTTAAAAAAAAGTTAACGATGTTTATATTTTGTTTATGCTAATTCTCTTACATGTAGTTTTTTATGAAGAAAAATATTTCATTTATTTTTAAAGTAAATGCCAGTAAAAGTAAATATAATTTTTAAATAGTAATATAAAGCACCTAATATAAATAATTTTGATTTCTAATTTTTTATTTATATTTTCCTTCCATTACACTGCATGCTTAGAAAATTAATAAATGTTTATATTTCATGATTTTAAAATTTGTTGTTAATATAACAAATTAGTTCTGTAATTATTATTATTTAATAAACCAACGTTGCCAAAAAATTTAGAGACTATTATTTTTAAATAGGATCTAATATAAATAATTTTGACATCTAATTTGTTGTTTATATTTTGCTACTACTTAAAAGAAAATATTTATATTAAATGATTTTAAATTTTGTTGTTAATAGGTATAACAAATTATTACTGTTATTATTATTTATTAAACCAGTCTTTGCTAAAAAACATTAAAAATAATTTTCCGATATCCAAAATAACAAGTATTATTGCAGTGTAACAACAGAATATTAATAAAAAAATGCAGAATATATAGTATGTCTATATATTCCCTAATTAACTAAAGCCAAACAATAATATTCTTTGCTAATATCAACTAATACCAAAATATGGCAACAGCGCCCTTCATAATGTATTTTCTGTGTAAATACTAGCACCTCAATAAAAAAAATAATGTGTCCTTATTTTTATCTGACTCCGCAAAAAATCAAAGATGCCGGCTTCTTTCATAGCATTGCCACCGACCGCTGTCGGGTTTCTCGGAAAGAAACCTACGTCGCCGGGCGACAACTAAAATTCAGTTAATATTTTATTATAATCGATCCTGACGAATGAATGAATTTCATAAATGAATGAATTTTATAAATGAATGGTTTTTACTGCCGAATTACTAGAATACAATATTTCAAGGCAGATGACGGATCTATTCGATAATTTTTATTCGAATAGTTTTCAACGAATGTTTTCTTACTAACTATCGAATTATTCGAATGAATTGCAACTATCGAATGTTTCGATAGTATTCATTCGATAGTTCCCACTACTACTAGAAAAGGCTAAAAATTTGGAAAAATTATTAAATTTCATGCTTTCCCGAAGAATACCGAAATTACTCAAATATGGGTGCAGATTCAAAGGGTGTAGAGTTGTAGAGATGGAAAATGGAATGTAGAAACTTGTAGGATTTGTTCAGATCATTTTACCGATGACGATTATGAAAGAGATCTTTAAGTAAGAGGAATTATTAGGACTTGGAAACTAAGAAAAACATTAAAAGCAATTGGTAAATAATTCAAAGTTTTTCGGCTTTTTTGTAATATAATATTTTTAGTTATATAGGTATGAGTAGAATCTTATGTAAAAGGAAAAAACAGTCAGTCCACCTGACAAAATTGATCCATTGAGGCAAAAACGACTTGAACAAAGAATAACACAAGTGGCGGTGGAGGAATTACTAATGAAAAATTTCGAGGAAAGCAATGTAAATGTTGCCGAGGAACACAGTACCGTAGCATCTGGAGCTGTTATTACTTGTGTTGGTCATCCAATGTATGATGAATTATTGTTAAAATATAAGGAATTGGAAACTATCCTATCTCTAAAGGAAGAATTATTGATGCCAGAGGACCAAAAAATTAAGAAATAACAAAAACAACTTTTAAAATCTCAACTACACTTGAAGCAGAAAAGTCCTATAAAACAGTAGAATACTAAGTCGGTTAGTTTATTTATAAATTTTAAATTCAACTTTTGTTCTAAATTTAAACTTTAAGTTTAAAGAAAATAAACAAGAAATGCTAAGAATTTTTTTTACAATGTAAACTATTTTTATTTATATACATAATTAGAAATGAATTATACAAACCATGTCGTAAAATTGGTATTTCTGAATTGTTTAAAACTAGGGTAGGATTCCGTAAGAGTACGCGGCGGCCATATTTACGAAGTGACAAGCAATCTGCCTAATATAAACGCATAAGTAGCTTGGTAACGGCCATAGGAGTAGTGTCTAAAAATCTGATGGTGTTGCTTTAACCCTTCTTTAATTGGCGGTAAGAAATGATATTTTCCCCTATTTACTATAATATTTGTAATACAACAAGTAAGGTACATACATTTGTGCATTCAGTTTTTATGAAAACTGCTGTAATAGTAATAAAAAGTGCTTTGTTTACAGAGACACTTTTAGATTAAATTAAAGTTTTATTAGTTGCCTAGATGGTTAAATTGGTTTTTAGAATTTGATTACGTGTCTCCCTAAGAGTACGCACAGGTGCGTACTAGGTATACTAGGTATACTTAGGTATACGGGTATACGTTAGTACTACCGTACTAACGTATACCTAAGAGTACGCACAGGTGCGTACTCTTAGGTATACGTTAAAACATTTAATTTTTAATATTTTTATGCTGTAGACAATTCCAAAACAGTATAATAATGAGCCCGTACAAACGAAAGAGCGATAGAGTACTAAAATTTACGCAAGAAATGTTAAATATGGCAGCCGATAGAATATCAAAGGGAGAGAGTAAAAGATCGGTTGCAAAGGCATTGGGGGTAAATGAATGTACTCTAAGGAAGAGGTTGCGTGAAGTAATATGTAGGATTACTTTAAAATTTTAAACTATTCCTCGTTTTACTTTTTTTAGGGCACTGTTCCAACTAGCTTGGGTAGATTTAAACCAATATTTTCGAAAGCACAAGAAAAAGAATTGGCGGATCATATTCGCGATCTGGAGGCGAGATTTTACGGACTTCGTATGAAGGATGTTAGATCACTAGCTTTTCAATACGCGAAACTAAACCACATTTCTCATAGGTTTAACGAACAAAATTTAATGGCAGGGAAACATTGGGCACAGGACTTTGCTGCTAGAAATCGTTTATCTTTAAGAGCTCCAGAAAAATGTAGTTTAGGTCGGGCTACAGGATTTAATAAAGTCCAGTGTGACAGATTTTTTAAAAATTTAAAACTTGTCTACGAAAAAACAAAAGTGCTGTCACACAGAATTTTTAATATGGACGAGACGGGACTTTGTACTGTTCCAAACAAGCTCCATAAAATTTATGCAGTAAAGGGCAAAAGAACAGTATCAAAAATAGTGTCAGCCGACAGAGGTCAATTAGTTACTGCAGTATGCTGTATGAGTGCCTCTGGTACCTGGGTACCGCCAGGTTTAATATTCGCTAGAAAGCGTATGAAAGAAGAACTTTTTTATGGGGCACCTCCAGGTACACTGAAGATGATATCTGATTCTGGGTATATGAACACAGAATTATTTCTAGTTTGGTTGCACCATTTTTCAACCTTTGTTAAACCTTCCGAGTCGGATCCTGTAGTTTTAATTATGGACAACCATATTTCACATTGCTCTCTGGAAGCAGTTTTATTTGCGAGGAGCCATTTTATTACACTTTTAACATTACCACCCCACGGAAGTCATAAGCTTCAGCCTTTGGACAGAGTATTCTTCTTCCCCTTAAAAACGGCTTTTTCTGGAGAATGTGATAAATGGATGGTTAGTAATCCTGGGAGACCAATCACAATGAGAGAAATGGCAGCGCTTTTCCATTCAGCTTATTCAAAAGTCGCTACAATAGAGATCTGTGAAAAATCATTTGATTGTACAGGGATATATCCCTACAATCCTGATATTTTTACCGCAGCAGACTTTGCCCCGTCTGAAGTCACTGATAAATTTCATTCAGATGTAGACCGTCAAGGACAAGAGGATATAAATAGAAATGAATTAATAGAATGGTCTGATGAAGATGAAATACCACTGGCTGAATTGCAGCGACAAGAAAAACAAAAAATAACAATAGAAAAAGAAAATAGGACACCAACAAATAGTCCAATATTTAATCAAAATCAAAAAGAATATGCAAATCAGAGTCCACGACACAGTTTATCTTCTGTTAAATTAAATGAATCTGACCCATGTTGTTCTGTAACACCCAAAATGATTCTACCGCTGCCAAAAGCTAAATACGAGCAAATTAGGAAAACAAAATCTAAAAGGTCTGAAATTCTGTCCTCTACCCCATATAAAGAACATTTATTAGAACAGACAGAAGAAAAACTAAAGGCACAAAAGGGAAAAAGAAAAATTCTCAAGTGTAAACAAGCTTCAGCAACTAAAATAGACAACACTATCTGTCCAGGATGCAATGAAAATTTTAGTTACTCTGATTGGTTAATGTGCCGTGTTTGCCAAACTTGGTGGCATGAGGACTGTTCTAATTATCTTGGAAGTGGTAGTTTCTTATGCGATTTATGTGACAAGTAATTTTAACGATTGGTTAACTCGTACAATTAGAATGCGTACTCTTAGGAATTTACGTGCGAACTCTTAGGGGAATATTCACCAAAGAGTACGCATTTGCATGTTTTTATTTAAACTTAGATATTTTTGTCAAATACATTTTTAAATTACTTTTGGAATGTTATATGTTTAAATTAATGCATGTTTTATAATTTCCTAAATATACTTCAACCTTAAAACGACTTTGTTTCAATGTTATTCAGCAATAAATATTAAGTGCGTACTCTTGCGCTATCCTACCCTATTTGTACTAAATTTGCATATACATCATTTATATTACAAATAAATAATTTATTGCTTTGATTAGGTACTTTGATTTATTTATTTCAATAACTATACAAATTCAGATATTACTAAATAAAAATGTAAGGGTATTGATAATAATTTCCAAATATTAAATTTTATTTATTGTATCTACCTTTATAAATATATACCAAAATATTTATGAAAAAGAAAATCAAGATTTATTCACGATAAGATCCTTTTACAAAATCTTCAAAATTAATTAACTTTATACGTTTTAATACATTTACACATTTCATTTAAATTATATGAAATATAATATAATATAAGCATAATTGGCAATTGTGCTTATAACTTTGATTTTTAAAACTTTACTTTTGTTGCGTAAATGCCAATGAACTTTAATTATTTTATACTTCCTTTCAATCGAATTATTAATTTACGAAATATATTAATATTAAATATGTTATTTTATATATCGAATAATTCCATCCTTGACAATATCTTCCTTCAACTTCGTTGAAAAGTGCGTTATCCTATAATCTTGGTTTTCTGGTAGCAGAATATACGAAAAAAATCTGATAAAATTTATTTGAAATTAAATTAATCTAGTATTATTAATCAAATTAAACTAGTCAAATAATAATAATAGTTAGTTTCAAAATACTATACAGGGTGAGTTTCCTACGATGTTCTCTATGGGTATCTCGGAAACTACTGGAAATAGAGAGTTGGTTAATGGGGAAAGAATTGCAGTTTTGTGGGGTCATAAATATGCGCCTTTCGGATTTTTGAAAAAGTTTATCGCTTACTAGATATTTCGAAAAAAAATTTTGGCTATTTTAAAACTTGTCCCTAATTCCATTATAATATATTTTAGACAAAAAGTTTTCAGATACAAGTTGTACATAATTACATACCTAATGAGTTTGTGTTTTGTGATTTTTTCTAAAGCCTGTAATTTTTGACCATAGTTGGCCATGACTTCATAAAAATCACCATTTTTAAGCTTTTCAGCGAAATAGGTATATATGTTTTTGTCGAAAAATTACAGTTAAATACAGAGTTATAGTTATAGCCAATTCTTTTCTTTCTTGGCTAATTTCACTTAGTTGGCATGGTATTCTTACTCTGTTATGATTTATAACATAAAAACACAGAATATATTATTAAACGGTTCTTTACGATTTACATTACGCAAACTAAAACTTAATAATATCACTACCCCATACACTTAAATTATTTTAGAAAATGTTCTCCCGTACCGCCACTTCGAGGGGGCCCATGCAATTGGTCCACCATCCACCTCTTCCGATCCCTGAGTTTGCATAATTGTGATATAAATAATTTTTAACATTTCTTTCATTATGGGGGGGGGGGGTCATAATGAAAGTCATATTGGAACCACCCTATTGATGCGCGACTATCTAAATTTAACTTTTCTAACATGTCTTGAAAACCGTTCTCTTAAAAACGTAAATAACGTTCACGACGTTAGGAGGACGCAATCTCATTAAGGATGTGATTATCTACAACTTATATCTGAAAACTTTTTGATTAAAATAGACTATAATGGAATTAGGGACAATTTTTAAAATAGCCAAAGTTTTTTTTTCGAAATATCTAGTAATCCATGAACTTTTTTAAAAATCTGAAAGGCGCATATTTATGACCTCACAAAACTGCAATTCTTTCCCCATTTAACCGACTCTCTATCTGCAGTAGTTTTCGAGAAACCCATAGAGAACGTCGTAGAAAACACCCCGTGTATTGAAAATACTGAAGACCATAATATGAAACAGAATAATAAATAAATTTTGCATTATCTAATTAAATTATTTTCCTGATACATTTTTTTAATGAAAATGTACTTGAATTATTTCAGTTAGACATGTATCCTGCTTTTAGAAAGTTTTATGGTTTAACGGGATTTGTGTGTGAGTTAAAATAATGAAATTTTTAGTTTTTATAATTCTTCACACATACAAAGTTAAAGCAAACTTGATTTTAAAACTCTGGCCATATTTTACATTAATAAAGGTTTAATTGGTGTAATAAAGATTTAGATGGTGTATTAAGTACAATATATTTATTTTAATGTCAAATAATATTGAAGCCAGTTGCAATTTTTTGAACATTTAATCAAGAATGTAAAAAGTTTTATATTTTCAAAAAAAAAATATCGTAAAATTCGTTAAACAATCAATTTAGAATAAAATAATGTAAGAATGAAATGATTCTTTAATAAACCTGCATTAAATCAAATTAAAATAGGTATGTAACTTTTTTTGAATATTAATTATCAGCAATTAACATTATCATTAATTATAAAGAATATACCAACATATCGAAATAATAATTTCTTTGTTAATACGGTTTAGAATTCTTAAAATAACATGCAAAAATAATCCACAATTTACAATAAAATAAAAGTTTCGTTTAAATTAATTAATCAGCTGATCACTATTAAAGTTCGCAGAAACCCGGGCTATATTATTACATTACTCTGAGGAAAATTACGAAAATAATCGATATTTTTGACTCCGCCCCGAAAGGTTCACGATTTGTCCTCCAGTTGGCAGCACATTTTGTCTAGTCGGTTGGGCAACTTTAAGAATATATAAACAAGGATATTACTAAAGAGCGAAAATACGAGATATATTTTTTAAATACACTTTTTAAACTCTTAAGCAGGCAGTATTTGTACTATAGGAAATTCAAATAATTCTTTTTCCGACAGATGGAAATAAATTGTCTGACCGTTTGACACTTAATGTGAAAGGAAGCTAGATAAAATCAAGAAAAATATCCCTTTTCAAACTAAATCTTAAATAACTTAAAAACGATTTATTTCAGTTATAGGAACATGTATAGTTAAAAAGTAATAAATTGAAAACCCGTTTTATTAGTGAAATAAAAAAGTGGGTTTCCATTTGAAAAAATGATTTATCATAATTTTTTAATCACTCAATTTCATGACAACTACCGCCATTATTATATGACATTTGAACAATTTAATTTTTGAAATAGATAGCCACATGTATTCTCTTTATGTCACAGTGACTGTGGTAATCACTAAATTTAATTTTTAGGCTATACACATTTTTATCACAGGTAGTTTTTTTCATCCAAAAATTTTAAATATTTTTTTTCTCTCAAAAACGGTTAATGTTAGATATAGAGTGTTTAACATCAATATTCAGAGAATTTTACAGAGACTTTAAGTATGTAATAAAAAATGGGGGTACCAATTGAAAATAAGAAAGTTACTGTCAACTTCCGGTATTTCCAGAAGTGCCGCCATATTGAAAATATTTAATCGATAGATCTCGTTGTAGAACAATGATGTGCAAAAAATCTCCGATCTAGATATTGTGGTTCTCTAGAAACTTCTAATGCACGCTCAGCCTGGGACACCCTTTATACAGAAGAGAAACAAGACGGCTGTATACAAATATAATATAACTTCACACTTCCATGATAAGAATTTGGCTTGATTTTTGTTTAAAATCTAAATTGTTTATGTTTTACTATATTTTGTATGAATGTAGTTTTTGTGTACTTTTTGCAGGTACCTAGTTTTCAAAATTTTAACTAGTTAATACAAAAAACTACGCGTAGTTTTTGACGTAGTTTTTTGCTTCATAAACTACTTAATAACCCTGGTTACAACAGCAAACTAAAAACACTAAATCACCACAATAGACCAAAACACTTTTACTTTTGCACTGGACGCGCGTTTCGCTAACCATGTTAGCCTCATCAGCAGATGATTAATAAAAAATTTTAATCATCTGCTGATGATGCTAACATGGTTAGCGAAACGCGCGTCCTGTGCAAAAGGAAGTGTTTTAGTGTGTTGTGGTGATTTAGTATTTTATTGATGATAGATGAAAATGACAAATTGGATCCCAATCTGTAAAGTTAGAGGATGTTTGTTATTTAGCTTTGACATCTGATACCTAAACGCAATTGAAATCAGTGGTTAATTGAACTTCAGAAAACATTGCAATGGCTATTCAAGAAGTAATCGAGCAGTGGCAAGTAAATTCAAAAGTAGTAGCTATTGTGACAGATAGCGCTGGGACTATAAAAAAAGCAGTAAGTAAATGTTTGAAGAAAGAAATCTCTTTATGTTGCTCATACATTTAAAAAATTATTATTGATAGTAGATGGAAATTATAAATTGGGATCCGAATCTGTAATGACGTTGGACGATGTTTGCTATTTAGCTTTGAGGTCTGATATCTGGTATTCAGATAGTAATAAAAGCTTCATAATCGTGACAGTACACTTTATAAGACGAAATAGAAATCAGTAATTATTTCGACTGCAGAACCACACGACTGAAAACATTGCAATGTTTATTCAAGAAGTAATCAGGCAGTGGCAAATAAACTCAAAAGTAGTAGCTATTGTCACAGATAACGCTGGGGCGTTAACACCATTTCCTTGTGAATGAAAGGTATTATGGAAATCGTACTAAAACTTTTTGATCTAATTGTTTATTTTGAATATAAGAATAAATATATGAAATATCCTAAATTTTTCAATTTGCTATTATATTATTCAGTTAGAAAATTTCTTGTTCCCTTTCATCATTTAAAAAAACAGTACTAACATTCGCAGCTCCTAATCTATTACATCGTTTAGAAAAAAATCATATTAGTGGTATAGTCATGTCCCAGCTGTTCATGAAGGATATTCTTTATTACAAAAAGTTATACAAGATTTAAACTTAGACTTTACATTACTAAAATACATAATCTGTCTATTAGGTTTATATATTATATTATTATATATTTTAATAAACGTAAAATAAATAAAAGAAAAAAAAAATAAAAGAGTTTTTAATGGAAATGAGACTGATTTTTTTCTAAAATCCGAAGGGAGAAAAGGTACTAATAAAAAAGGGAATTTAAAACACTTCACCTCATAGTGATGAAAAATAATGTTACTGTTACAGGGTCGGCGGAAAGAAAATATTGAGACCGGGCGAGTACCCTCTCGGTTTTTTCCTTCAGTCCTATACTTTAACTACAAACTAAGCATATTTATGCTACTTTAACAATAAATTTTCACTTAAAGATACTTCAAAATTCTTCTCTTCGTTCAACCGTAGTCTGCGATTGTTGTTTTTTCTACACCGGTCTCGAAAGTGACTCACTCCTATATTTTTTTTATTTTTTTAGATAAAAAAACGAGTTTTGTTATGTTAGTATATGACATATATTAGGTTTGATTGACGTATTCAATGGTTCTTAGTCACTTCCTGTTTGATGACTGGAAATGACTAAAACTTTTGATTTTTAAATGCACCCTCGGTATATTTCTACTTTATTTCAAAAGAAAATGACATTCTGAGTAGAATGGCATATCATATGTCAACTTTTGATATTTTCGCTTAAAAAAATCGTATTTTAAATTTTAATCTATAGTGCCAGGGTTGTGTTAAAAATAAACAAATTATAGGGGGAGAAACAGCTGAGACGCACTCGGTATATAGAGCATAAGAAATAGAATCCCAACTTCGGCAGTCTTGTTCTGGTATAAGTGATCTTTGAAAACATAACAGTATTTAATTGCAAGCAATTGCATTATTTTTTATTATATTTTATTATTAAGAATTTAAGAAAATTTTCCTTTCTTTTTCACAAACAATTACATATTTAGTGCAGAATCAGTATTATGATCAGACAGTTTTGTCGGCGGCAAAATGAGGATCAGTCAATGTTTGAGATGCATTTCTTTGTGAGAAATTTTTCTTTGTGTGATTCCTCTAATGAGAAAATTTTACGATTTTGCTACAATTTTCAGTGTATTACTACATATTCAATCCGGAACAATCAAAACCATCAAAAGATTGATATCTTTACCACTATAATTAATAAATTAATTTAATTAATGAGACAAACTTATAAGTTTTTTTTTATAATAAGGATATTGGGATCCTTTTCAGCTTCTTGCGAATGAATATTTGCCGCATATAACTTTGGGGCATATCAGCCGTTAATAACAAATAAAGGATGTGGATAGTAGAAAAAGTGCAATTTTGAGCGGTAGAGTCTAAAACTGTTAATTTTGCTGGCTCTTGACCCAAAACAGTTTGTTTAGAAATTTATAAAAACGAGAATTATAGAAAGAAGGATTATGTACAAAAAGTTGTTAGCTTTTGAGTTATAAAAGTGCCACGAACAAATCCGATTTATATATTTTTTATTTAATTTTGTTTAATATTCTTCCACGAAAATGAATTCGCAAATCCCAGTTTCAGATAGAGCACTCAAAAAACATATAGAATAGAAGAAATCAAAACTATCCCAAAGCTTCCGTGCTAAGGATTTTTTTGAGCATAATTTCAGTAAACTATAATAGGATACATCTAGGACATAGTATAGTGTTTATAATGTTTAGTCAGATATTCTTCCCTATGTGGTGTAGTAATAGCTAATTTGTTAATGTGGAAATTGACAGTAGCGATTAATTATTGAACTGGATATTCGTTACTATTTGTTTAGATTACTGTTCTTAAATATTTTAGTTGCTGCCGTGTCGCCCGGCCCTGTACTGTTATACGCGCCCACATATAAAATAACTGTTTTGTTCAGTGTGTTTTGTTAAGTGAAAACGCTGCGGGAAATTTGTCTCCGCCAATGATCATATTTAAATATGAAAGAATTCGAAAAGATATTGCTTTACCTTAAGCGTTCCAGAGTCATGGGGCCTCGGAAAATCACAAAATTGCTGGATGATAAGGGATTTTTTTTTTATTACTAACATATTTTGTGATGTGTTGCCCTGATATAATTCTAAAAGATGATTATATAATAAAGATGCAAGACACGTGGAGAAGACAGAGAGAGTCTAATTCGTAGAGACGAGTGTGGGAGACAAACTAGAGTTTTATTTACCTTTCATAAACCTCTTTGAAATAGAGAATTAATACTGTCTTCTTGTAGCTTTTATCCTTGCCTATATCATTCTTTTTATAGATGAGAATGTGTTACACTTGACTCTACACCTCAGTAGATTCGGAGAGCAATGGCAGTATTTTGGTTGAGTTGTACCCCATTGCCACACACTTCATTCAACTAGTGGACAGGGCTGTGTTTAGCACTGTTAAAACGGACTAGAAGGAAAATATACAAAAATTTAGGCTAGATCATACAGATAGTCTGAATGTTAGAAAATTTGAGTTCTGTTTGCACAAAGAAACAATCGATAGTAGATCATATACAGTTATTATGCAAAACAGGTTTCACAAATGAAACATGGTCAGATAATGTGGAAGAAACGAGCAAATTATAAAAAAAGTAGAAAAAACATTGATTCTTTTAAAAACTCAGATATCTCTACAAACATGTTAACTAAAATAGACAATTTATCAGAAAAGAGTGAACATGTAAATGTGCTCGAAAAATATCCTGGTATAGCTTAAAGTCCAAAAAAATCAGGCAATCAATCAAGATTTCTACCAGAAATCATGTAGAAAGTACCGTTATTGATATTGTTTGAGTTATTGATAATTCTTTATCTCCCATTTACGAACTACGCCTAAAAAAACTCGAATAAAAGTTTATAGTGTAACTCCAGCTAATTGAAATAATGATCTACAATTAGCAACAACTACTAATAACCAACAACTTGAATTTGAAATACCTGAATTATGTATATTGGCCCTAAAGTTCATAATATGCTTTCAGGGAATCTTAAAAACACCACTACAGACAAAACATTTAAAAACATGTAAAAAGTTTGTTTTTGAAAATTGTAAGGTTTCTTCTAGAAATAAAACTGTTTTATGGTATTTGTAAATTTCCTACTGTCTTATATTACTTCGATCTTTTTAAAATTTAAGTAACATTTTGTTAGCTAGATGCTATTTCATATAGTAGAGTAATTTGTACTTGTTCTTTTCATACAGCAATTATAACACTGTCTGAAGACTTAAATAAGAAACTATAATAAAAAACTATATCTGAAGATATAGTTTTTAAAGAATAAACAAAATTAGCTTTCTTGTACATACCTTTAAACAAACGTTATAAAGTTGTTTCTTCAATTAAATGTTGTTGATTTATTAATGGCAATGACTGGGTGTAAATTTTAGCCATAAAAATATTACCAAAACATGTTCTCTGGAAAATATAAGCTTTTGTACTCCAGTAAAATTCATAGATCCTCCATAAGATACTTTATTATCGTTTTCCTCCCAATATATTCAGCACATCACAATTTCAATAAGAGAGTAGACTCCAAATAGAAACTAAAAAAACTCAGAAGAAAAACACAAACGCCATAGAAAGACACACAACACTTGTAATGTTTGAATATTTCTAGAGGATTTCCAAACTATACTAACTAGATTGAATGAAAATTATTCGATTGAAATTGAAAACGTTCGAATAGTTTAAAACAGTTTAAAACCATGTTGAAAAGTAGTTGAAAATTGAAAACTAGAAAAGTAGAAAAATCCGATTTGACATTTGACGCTGAGAGGTGTCAAGTGTCATTAAGCATGCCACAGAACAAAAACAAAGAGTAAAATTGACATTATTGCAAATCTTGAAGGATGGGTATGTAAAAAACTCTTCAACTACTACTATTTGTTTTTCACAAAATAAAAACTATCCAGAGATATATAGAGATATCTCGTATTTTCCAGAGATATTGCATTACACTATAATCAAAGAAGGGTGGATAATTTTTAAATTATAACACTTTCCAACACTAAAGGTGTGGATCCGGTGGCTGACCTTGAAACGAGTTTTTGCTGCATATAGTCACAGACACTACGCATGCGCACATCTTCGATGTTGCCAGATTGCAAGTTATTTTGGAATTATTTTCAGTAGAAAACAAATATGTGCTTTTCAGTGTTTTTTTGTCAATATATACCGTATGATCGAAAAAACGGCGTCCAGTTGGCTGGGAAATGACGATTGAGGACATTTCCCATATAAAATGACAGCGATCTTCATTTCATAGTCATCGCTGACGCTATTTTTTTCAATCATAGTACGCGGCATATTATTGCTATTATTATTTTAATATTTCGCACAACACGTGAACGCTTATTATGTATTTTCATAGTCAATAAAATTAAATAGAAATAAAACTCTAGATTCCTAAAATTAATCTAATTGCTCTAGATTATTATGCTACGTTTAAAAAGGACTTTATTAAAAATTCGGGAAATTAAAAGGGATGTGTCCAAGTTTTTTCTTTTTTTAAAATTTTTAAATGCTATAGCGCCATGTCATGTTCATAATACCTGATCGAATAAAAACGGCGTCAGCGATGGCTATGAAATGAAGATATCGCTGTCATTTTATATGTAAAATTATATGGGAAATGTCATCGATTGTCATTTCCAAGCCAACTGGACGCCGTTTTTAATCGATCATACGGTAGTTTTTTTTAACATTCCATTAAAACTACGGAGGTCTTAAAAGGCCTTTTAGCCTCCGTAATTAAAATTGTAGAATCAGCTTCAGCAACATTAACATCATTAATTCTGCCCTTGATTATATATAGACAAGGATTCTGCTTATACATATATTGCATTAATTTTTCTGCTACCTTAAGATTTCTCTATTCTTACACCTAATTTATGTGATTTTCTTAGCATATATGATTTATAAACCATATTTTTCCTAATGGAAGGATGGAATAGGATATGCAAAATTAAGATATTTTAACATTTATTTTCCAGACAAAGCATAATATAGTATTAAGGTTAAGACATAACAAATATTATAACATTATAAGAAAGATCTTAATATAAATCACAAACTAACTAAGTCTTAATTTGGCCACATTGTATTAAACACATTTTTAAAAGGACCTCCCTCGGTGACGTAAGCGTCCATGTGATCTAGGCGATAATTTCACCCGATCGAACACCTCTCGTTTTGTACATCCCTTGGTACATCCTTTTATGTCTTTGGTCGTAGTCCGTATCGTTCTCCATATAGTTTCTATGTCCGTTTGTTTCCTTATCTATGGTAAATTAAAACACAAAGTTTTTGGTCAAATTTTTGTTGTGTTGAGCAAGTTTTTGGTTTTTGGCTCTGGTTTTTGGTATATATTCTTTGATTTCTTTGTAGTGTCTAGCATTTTGGAAATGATTTGCAGTAAGCTAAGCCTAAGTAACCTAAAGTTAAGCTTATCCTGAGTATCTTCCGATTTAATTCAGTTTAACATTTAATTTTTCCTAACAAATGGAGTGCTCTTATTAGTTTTCTCCTATAAACTAAAAGACTATAGTAGTAAATTATAGCTACAGGATGAAATCAAGCTATTACGAAGATTGGAAAAATACCATGGTAAATATAGAGAAAATTACTAAGTACACTATTTTTTAAAATGAAGAGAACAAAGAAGTAGGTAGATATACACCATGCACCTATCAAAAATATGGCATAAGCAGGTCTAGTGATGGGCTAATTCGAATGAAAAAAAAAACCTGTTATTCGGTTATTAAAATAACCTGTGTAATTCGGTTTTCATTTCAAAGTATTCGAATGAAAAATAACCTGAAAGCTGAACAGTATGAACTATGAACAAGTCTCGTCGTCGATCCGTTGGGTGAACAGAACATCTGGTTAATCGGGTAACAGGTAAAGTAAGGAATAAGAGACGTTTTAAATTCAATTTATGAAGGTAGTTTCAATGCCATCACTTGAATAAAAAACGAATTTTAAAATTTACGAGTAGGTCGTGGCAATGGCAACTGTTATTTATTATTTATTTGTGATGATTACTGTTTAGAGAAGCTATTGATATTGATAATGATATTATAATAGATTTTTTTTTTTTTATTTATAACTGACCTCAAAACAGTAACAATACTGGCACCGAGGTCTATTAAATATAACAATTTGACAATAATATCGAGAGTTCTACACATTATGTATATACACACAGCATTAGTACACCATACCAACACTAAAACTAATTTTTGTCTCTGAAAAACATTTCCAAGCCGTGACAAAACTTTGGCAGCCTCTCACTTACAATAGTAATTGGCAATTTGTTGTAGGCTTGGATGCTTCTATACAGTGGGGAATCTTGACATTTCTTCGTTGCTCCATACTTGTTTCTAAATGCTTCCTTGGTACGGCCAGCATATTTTAAACTATGTACATAGGGTGATTGCGCCGGTGTTCGACCAGTTAACAGAAAAATGAACTTTGAAATGTCATAACTCAAGTAAGAATGCGTAAGTAGTTAATACAAATAAAGGAATAAACTCTTATATGTTTCTGAATTAACATTATTTTTCAGAGAAGTAAATAGCTGTTATAAAAATATTAATAATAGAAAAAAAGCAAAAATATGCATTTTACCCAATTTTCGACCACCAATATCCTCAAGCCGACCAGGCAAGACCCAGTTTTCGACGGGGAATAACCGTTTTTCGATAGCTTACACTGGTTTTCGACCACACTATAAAATAGGTAGTTTTATACAAAAAATATACAAATAAACAAGAAAATTTAATGTAAAAACAAACATTTATGGTGATTAAAATTTCCAGAAAACTTGTAAACGGGTAACAAAATATTATTTTATAATATTATTTCTACTTATTGGCTAACAGTTTAGTTCAAAAATTTTTTTTTAAATAAACAATGAAAAATTAAGAAACTAAAAATATTAAACATTTTGCCAAAAATAGGATCCAAAGGTTTAGTAATACAAAAGGTGAAAAACAAGAAAAACTTAAGTACATGCATAGCACGTATAATCTTTGGTTGCAACCTCGTCATAACTGAGGCCAATAAAATTAGTGCACCGGAGGTGAAACCACCTAGCGCAGAGGTCACATCCAATATTTTTTTCCTCATCCTCTTCAACATCACTTATTAGTTCTTCGTCACAAGCATCACATTTAATAGTCTTTTTTGGTGTTTTCCTGCTCTCTACTGGCAAATGATTTTCATTGGTCAATGGCTTTTTTTTATTTGTTCTAACTCTCTTCACCTTCTCCTTTTTCTCTTTGGCTAGCGCTCGTTCTTCTTTCTTTCTTTTTATCAACTCAGCTTTCTTTACCTTTTCCTCTTCTTTTTTATTTTGTAAGTCTCTCCAGGCTTGACTACTTATTGCTCTCGGCATTTTGTCTTTTTCTTTGAAACTTTTAGTAGAAATGTCGGGAGGATTTTTGTACTTTAAAATATTTTCAATGGACACACTTAATGGTACGTAACATATCTTATTGCTTGTTTTTTTTCTGTATTGCCGCTTACTTCACTACTATTTTTTTCAGGTACATTTATTTCTTGGGTATCGCTCTTATTATCACAGTTCGTTTTAACGGATCTGTCTTCTACTTCTCTCTCGTTTTGTTCAAGTTCTTCTGTATTGCTTAATATTTCTTTTATTTTACATTCATTATTTAGGGTACTACTTTTCAAATTTGTCTTAATTTCTTGCTCTGACTCTTCTTTTCGGTTATTAAAATCCAATTTATCTGGCTCAACGTCAAATTCAGTCTGGTCTGAGTCTATTTTATTTCTTTGGGATTCTGGCTCTGCTTCTTTATTTGCATTTTCCAATTTATCCGATTCACTATTAGATTCCGTCTTATTGTTCGCTATTGGGTCTGTGTCCTTTATCTGGTATTCTGGTGGTGTTGCTTCACTCACATTTTCAGGTATGATGTCCTCCTGGTTCGCATTATTAGAATCATCAATGTTGCTTAATACATTGCACTCATTGTTCGTATCGTCTTCATTATTGTTAATTTCTTCTTCCTGAATTGGCAAGCTTGAGATTTGGAATGATGGAAGTTCTTCTTCGTCATAGTGGTCATAGGGATTTTCATTACTTGCTTTTTCATTCACTTCCTCTGGTTCTGTAATAATTATTTCATTTTCTTCCATTTCTTGCATTTCATAATCCCTCAAAATTATTTGTGGGTTATGGTCAATTTCAAAGATATCCATTGGGAGCACAGCACCTACTAACAAATCGCCAGGTTGCTCTTTGTCTTTTTCTAAATTGGAAATTGTTTCAACTATAAAATCTACATTTATTCCATTTTCCGTTAGTTTTTCCCTTATCGTTTCAACAACTTTTTTCGCCGTAAGTACCTCGTATGCTGTTATTTGAGGGTTTTGAACACTTTTCAGTTGGCTTGTATGTTGTCTTATGAAGTTCTGAACGCATTTCGTATAATCAACACTATTCGGTTCGAAGGGGTATAATCCACATTTTTTGAAGCCATTGATGATGTGTTGATTCATGTTTGCCTTTTCGATCGCTTCTTGTAAAACCCGACAAAAGTTTATTTTATTCACCGAAATGTTTATATTCTCGGGGCGGTTCTGCCACTCTCTGACTGTTTTCTTCCACTCTGTTTTCAGCGGCTTGAAAACGCTGACATCTGCGGGTTGTAGGATATGAGTAGTATTAGCAGGCAGAGCATAAAGAATAATGCCGTTTTGATGGCAGAACTCACTGAGTTGCATAGTCATGTGTGATTTGTGCCCATCTATCAGTAATAAAATAGGTCGCTTCAATTGCATTTGTGTCACCCATTCATTGAAGTCATTTGCAATATAATCGAAAAAATTGTCACCTCTCATCCATCCACTATCAGACCTACCTAGGATCCAGTTTGGCGGCATACTCGCGAGTAAGGCTTTCGGTGGCCTAATATAGGGGAATAAAACTAACGGAGGTGCTATTTTACCACTAGCTGTAAAAACCAGAAGAACCGTTATATTATCTTTTTCGTTCCCAATCTTGACCGAATAAACGTTCTTCCATCCGCGTGGAGCTAGCACTTTGCCTGTCTTTGGACAGAGTGAAAAACCAGTCTCGTCTCCGTTTAAAATTCTGTCTGGATCTTCCAAAATATCATCGCAGTTGTTTTTCACCAAGTAATTCTTAAGATCAGCAAACCATAGTCTTATCCCTTCTTCGGTTATTACCGCTCGAGCCTTGTTAATACTTTCGGCCTCCCTTGTAGCTATAACGGGATGCCTTTTTAAAAAACTCAGGTACCACTTTTGGCCTGGTCGTCCGTCTTTAAAGAGATTTTCCCTACCAGTATTTTTTAGGACAGTCTCCACCGTATCAAGCAAATCGGTCTTTTTCAAAGGAAAGCCACATTTCGCTAAGCTCACTAACCAATTGGCTATTTTTTCCTCGCCTTCAGTAGTGAGTAAAGGTGGTGGTCCAGTTTTTCCTTGAATTTGAGGGATTTTTCCGGATTTGTGGTCCTGCAATGTGGTTTTCGGAATTCTAAATTCTCTACTTGCAGTTCTAACGGACATGTTTCCTTCTTGAATTTCAAATAGGGCTCTTTTTAACGCCTCTTTCGGGTATTGAAATTTCTTTTTTTTCTCAATTTGTCTATTTTTGTTTTTTTCTTTTAAACTTGCAGTTTTTTTGTTAGCTGGCATTTTGTATCTGAAATAAGTGAAAATAGAAAAATTATGATATATGTCGGAAACGGGCCCCTTTTTCGTACATATTGGATATATCCCTTTACCATACTGACCGAAAACTAGAATTGGATGTACCTGTTTTCGACCACAACCGCGAAATTTTTAAATTTCGCGCTTAAAAAGTGTACGAAAACTGGATGGTACAAAGCATCTATTATTGCAAACTAAACAGAAAAATGAGTACGCTTTATATGTGTTCCTATTTAATGAAAAGAGACAAAATAATGTAACGATCTTTTACCGGTTTTCGACCGCCCCGGTCGAAAACTAGATTTTGCTGAATTTGTTATACTAGTTTACCGTACATCCCAGTTTTCCTGTTTTAAGATTAAAAATGTGATGTTTTTCTCAATTTCCACTCAAATTAAACAATATTCAACTACATCTACCAAATACACTTAGTGTAATAGAAATAAATTTGAAGTTACTTACTGTTTTGTAAAGCCTTCTTCACTAGTTTTTCTCTTTCCAGAACCGGTCGATACTGCTTAGTAGATACCTGGTCGTAAACTGATTGACATTTGGAGTTTAAGTTATTGCCGTAAGGCGGCAGAAACTGTATTAATGCGCGGGAAAAGTACGAACTTTTGCAGGAACGGACTTAGAATATTTATTAGTGGAGTGGTTTTCTTATTATAATGAAATATCTTCGGAACCGGTCGAAAACGGGGGGCGGTCGGTTAACTGGCGCACTCACCCTACAATAAATATTGTAGGGGACCCAGGACAGATCCTTGAGCAACCCCAATCTTTGCATATTGTTTTTCATTATACTGATTGTTAACTGCTGTAAAATTTATTCTGTTTTCCGAGTATGATTTGAGCAGGTCATGACATACACCTCGGAAACCCATCTTGTACAACTTATTTAACATTAGATCGATGTCCACTGTATCAAATGCTTTTCTGGGATCAATAAATATTGTAGCCACATATTTGTTTTGATTTAGCTCTTCAGTGATGTGTTCCAGAAGGTCAACTACTGTGCCAAGAGTATTACTTTTTTTTTGAAAGCCATATTGATTCATGTCAATTCCAAAGGTATCTTCGATAAATTTTATTAGCCGTTTCTTTATTACTTTCTCTACAACTTTTGAGAATGTACTAAGTAGCGTAATAGGTCTATAATTTCCTACTTCTGTTTGCTTTCCACTTTGTGTATGGGTACTATTTTTCCTATTTTTAGTTCAGGTGGGTAGTTTCCACTTACCAGTACTTCATTTACCAGTTGTAATAAAATGTCTCCAATGATGTTGTAACTGCTTGTTAAGTCCTTTTTGGTGATGTTATCATAACCTGGGGCACTATTATTCTTTAGGTTTAAAATTGCTACTTCTCAAATTTCCCATTAAAAAATAGACCATATATACCATATAAAATAAAATAATGATTAAGATCGGGCTACGGAAAATCACACAAATTATCGGAAAAAGTTTGACACCTGCACACGCACACAATCGTCAATTAAAAAAAACTACTATTTTAGTATTTTAAATATTTTAATAATCCCAAAATTGGCACACTATTTATAAGGTGAAGTTATAAAAATTTGGAAGAACTAATAATGCACTGACGCACACAAATATCAAACGAATACTAAATTTCATTTATCAAAAGCATTCGATAGTCGTGGCTCAACGATAACCATTTAGTTGCACGGTGAGGTTGTCACATATCGTCGGCCTAATGTGAAAATTGCACAAGTCCCAAAACCTAAATTTTACAGGAGAGCAAAAAAACTATTTTATTTCTTTAAAAATAATGCTATTGGGGTCAAAGTGGAATATGAATAAAAAAAACATTAGGGAACTGCTATTAAGTATTGATTCTTTTTATAATAGTTACCTGTTGAAAAATAAAGGAGTTATGCAAAATTCATTCTTATATTCAGTACTAAGATGGACTTATGCAAATTTCACATAATAAAACAACGCTACTATTTACCTAACCTAAGGCATTATTTTTATTAAATTTAAAATAACTACCAATAAAACAACATTAAAGAACTTGGAAGATCGAACTTATTATATTAGAAACACAACTTAGGAACACAACATATTATATTAGAAAATAATCAAACGGTTAAGTCTAATGGTACATAAGTTATTCATGTCTTAGATTGTCATAAAAATCATGATAATCTTTTGCAAGAGATTGTTTCAAAAACATAAGATGTTCAAACCTTTCTTTTTTAATTTTTAATTGTTCTTTGTACAATAAAGGAAGAGAGTCAATTGATACGTAATTTAAATTTGGTTTTAATCTCATAGGCATATCTTGAAATTCCTCGGAATGTTTAATCTTAAACTCGATTTTACCATCTGGATTATACTTCAGAGCTCTAAGACTGTTGACAGTTGGATCACCAACTTTAAATCCAGGTCTAATTGATTTTATTAAATTAAGTTTACTAAGATCTTTGAAAAAAGTATGATCTAAATAGCTCACCTCATACGGTCTAGGATATTTTCGAGCCAATTTACATAGGGAAACATAATCAGCTGGCAAATTAATGGTTCTACCTTTTAATTGCCTCTCTATGGTAGAGTGCATCGAGTCACACTCCATTTGGGTGTGACCTTTTTCTCAATATTTTTGGATGATACAAACATGTTTTTCGAGTGCAAGATTTAAAAAGGCGTTGCTTAAAGTACAATTACGATTTTGAGCGCTACAACCGTCACTATATAATATTATTTGTTGCATTGGCTCAAGTTGGGGAATTACATTATTAATCAAGAAGTTACAAATTATTGATGAAAAACAGTTGGCACTGAGCTCCCCTGACCTTCGTGCCAGAGAAAACAATAGCCATCTTTAGAATGCAAATCAAAGACTGTAAAATTGTGTACAATAAGCTTGGTGCGATAGTACAGAGCTGATACATTCGATTTCGGGCACAACAGTACTGACTGGAGGACCATCGTAAATACCCTATTTTTGGAATTTTTGTCTTCTGCTTCTTCTTTCTTGATAATGTGTTCCCTGTAGACAGAATCCTCTACGTTTTTGGTCTTGTAGCCTACGCATACATCGCATTCGTCTTTTTTTTGGCAAAAACAATGCAAGATTCAGATCGTCAAACATGTTTGAGAATGTGGCAATGGATAAGGGAGCTACATTATGTTCTACACACCAATTATCTTTATAAAGTAAATAAAGCTCCGATTTGGTTTTGAACGTTGGCTCTACATATAATTTTGTTGACGATTTCCGACAATAGTGTGATTCAAGTTTAGGCAGTTCTTCAAAGAATTTTTTCAAGTTTGCCCTTCCTTCATCAAAACGTAAAGTTTTTTTTTTTAATATTTTGTCACTATTCTGTTCATTTTCACTTTTGGTTGGGCTAGACATGTCACCTTTTATCCACGCTGATATGGTCCTCATAGAAAGTCCTAATGTATTGCAAAATATTAGCTTACAAACCCTAATTGCTTCGCTTTTGTTTTTAAGAAAGTACTTATACGAAGTTGTCCTTTGGCTAACTTCCGGATCCTTTCTATGTCTCGCCCTTTCCGTTTTATTCTTCAAGACTTTTGCAGAAATGTAGATCTTTTTTTCGGGCCACGACAGGGACCAAAACTTCACGAAAATTAACTTTCGTTCTTCATCCGTCAACTTGTAACACTGAATTGCTATTTCTTTACCGGTTTTCAATGGTTTGTTTGAACAAAGACATCTCGTTTTCATTACTCTCTTAGTTTTCTTTTTGTCGAATTTGTTATTTTTTCTACCCATATACTCAACCCCTTTCTCTCTGTTTATTTTATTAGTATTATATTTCCATTCTGCAGGTTTAGAAAATCTTCTCTTTTTTCTTTTTTGTGTAACTTCTTCAGTGGAATCATTATTTTCTTCATCAGAATGTTGTTCCCCATCATCGTCAATTTGATATGTAGGGTCATTGTTTTCATTATCTACTTCACCAGGATGACTTGTTGCATCTTCTTCATCATTATCTTCATTTATAATATTTCCTTCTCGTTGTTTTTCTTTTAAATCCAAAAGAGTTTCTGTTGGCGCGTCAATATCGTTTGTTGTATGGGCATTGAGCATCTCATCAGAAAAAATAAAACTATCATAGTTTGTAATATCCGTTTGCTCTATGCCGGATATTATTGCATTGTTGAGAAAGCTGGATGATAAATCATTATTTTCCCCTATGTCTAAAATGTTTTGTGTCATATGAATTTCTTTTTGTAATTCTGTTAGAGCTGACTGCAGTTTTTCCTCATTTTTTTCTGCAAGACACTTTTCATTTTCCGCACTCTTTGTATCAGTATGATCTTGATCTTTTTCTCTGAACAGTTTTATTGTCTTGTTTAATTCTACAGAATCACTAGTTAATGTTCCAGAACTATCGTTAGTTATGTCCTTCAAAGCGTTGGCCGGATGTTTTGTTAAAATCAACAGTTTGAAACCTCTGCTTCTACGATCCATAGCTGAAACAAAATACTTGTTTATACCTACCCTTAGCCACAAAGTGTAAAGCCACTGGTACAAAAGACCCGGTAAAAAAGCATCCGACCTCGGTATTGTTCGGATGTGTGACTTACAAAAAAAATTTGTTTTTATTATTATCAGGGGCTTTTTTGGAATGAATTTTTCACTGAGGGCTTTTAACAGGGACTTTTTCACAGGAACGTTTTTAACAGCGGCTTTTTCACCTGGTACCAATATTTCTAGCCAATTTTTTTTTATACCAAAAGGAGGGTTTACTTATACCTCAAGATTTGTCAAGAATTTCCATCTACACGAACTGTTCAAAAAAGGTAAGGTAAGGCAAAAAATGTGAATTTGTCATCATTCTTTGCAGTAATTGGTATTCAAAATGCTTTGAAACATGCGTAACTCCCGTGAGTTCTAAATATATCAACAGTGTGAAAAATGCACAACTCCTTAAGTTTACAAAAATGGCATTAATCCAGTCTAATGTATGATAACACATTTAAAAAGCTTAAATTTACATAGTATGTACTTACCTAAATGATATTGAAACTCAGTCTGATAAAATATCGGCCAATTTAAAGTCTGACAAACTAAAAAGCACGACACCAAACAATAGACAGAACACCAACGTACACTTTCTAGGACTTATGCAACTTTCTTACTGATATAGAACGAGTTGGACTTACGCGCATTTCATATTTTTGTTTCTAGCGCCATCTAAATACTTTTTGCGTAGTTTTTTTATTTGGATGTATAGATAAGCTGCTTTTCTAACAGATGGAGCTAAAAAACAATTTTGTGAAAAATTGGACTTATGCAATTTTCACATTAGGCCGACGATATGCTTTAGTATACAAATGAATGAATGATTTTATTCGAATAAAACCATTCGATAGTTGAAATCATTCATTCAGTAACCATTCGATAGTCTAATTCATTCGATAGTTCCCATCGCTAATTTATAGGGTAAATATCCGAATCTAATTTCAGTCTAATCTTAAGTTGCTGAGATTGACTCCAATATTGAGCTAAGAATTGATTTTTAAAATCTTGAAAATTAGTGAAAGTTGATAAGAAAGCGTTCATCCATATTTTTGCGTTTCCTCTAAAGAATAAATTAGTTATACTATCTACTAAAAACTGATCTACAGAAACATTTTGTGACTTATACATGGTTTCTATTTGATTTAAAAAATCTACAGGGTGTATATCCCTTTATCATCAAAAATAGGAACGTCAGCGTTTGGTTTAAAAGTACAAATATTTTGAAAATGGCCCTGATTAGAATTGATATTATTATTATTTATATTTAACTTATGTACTTCATTAATAACACTAGAAATTATCGTTTTTAAATCTTCTTGCTGCATGGAACAGGTAGTCGGATTACAAAATGGCGGTGGCATGAAATTTGCCGCTGGCATATGAACTGCCGGTGGCGGTACAAACATAAAGTTGCCTCCCTG